GGGCTAGTGGAGGAGAGGGAGGCAAGGAGAGGGAGGCAAGGAGAGGGAGGCAAGGAGAGGGAGGCAAGGAGAGGGAGGCAAGGAGAGGGAGGCAAGGAGAGGGAGGCAAGGAGAGGGAGGCAAGGAGAGGGATATCCTTCTCAGTGGCTCTGTTTGAGGGAATTTGCTATATGCACCAACTAGAAACACGCCTGCTACTTCCCCAAGCCTTCATTACCAAGCAGTTATGATTTCTTCACAGCTACTGTAACTGCAATCAGTTCAGACTTGGATGAAACATTTTACTGCACATAAAGGGATTTCCAGAGTCCCAGTCAAAGGTATCAAATGGGAACAGAGTATTTTATTAGGTTTTACTTCTTCCTGAGCAGATTATTTAAACTAATGTTTCATCCTCTGATATTGCCTAAGAAATCCACATTTCTTCTTCCTTTTTTTTATTCAATTTTTAAAGCGTACTAGAGAAAATGCATGAGTCCTACAACAGAATGAAGTGATTTGTAAAAGGCAATAGCCCAAGCAGGTACAATTTATGGTCATCTGTCTACGCGTCACTGAATGTGCCTTAATGTTCTGACACAGCTTGTTTAGGCACAGCGTTCTCCACGCTTTCAGAACCTATCAAAGCCTTTCCAGGAATAACTATAACAGTTCCAGTTAAAGCATCCGGATTCCTGCTACATGACTCAATGACAAATGCACTACAAAAGCGGCGGAGGACAATCATATCACAAGAGGCCGAGTAGCTGCTTGCTCTGCTACTGCCACCTGCCTGCAGATCCTGAATTAATACACTTTTAATTCTTTAAATTCTTTTTTAAGGACTGCATCAAGTCCACTTTTGCTTTACCTCTCGGTAACCAGACCATGATCAGAACTTCTCACCTCAAATCTGTTCAGTAGAATTCAAGATTTGCCCATTCAGACTTAACCCCAGAACTTTGTTCCCAAGAATCAACGCAAATGTCTCCATCAATCTATCCTTCATCAAAATAAGTGGCATGGTTATAAACAGTGAACCTCGCCTGGCTTTGAGTAGCTCATTTCTACAAAGGTATAGTGAGAGTCAACTATCTTAATGAAAACAGCAAAGCAATCCAAAATAACTTGCATTTAACTGCACAAATTACACTTAGTACATAACTTTGCTGGCTACTTCCTGCTTCTTTATACGTGGAGTATGCACAATTCTTTTTCAAGTCATCAAACCACCAATTTGTTATCACAACCTTACAGCACGTGAAGCTACTTAGTAAGTTTACAAGTAACAGCTTCAACTTCACCGCTGCTCAAAGTTTTCAGAATACAGCTACTGAGAATTTCAAAGTTCTGAATTGTAAAGCAACCACCAACGCTTGAAGCTTAAAATTTACACTAAATAAAATATAATCTGCATTCCCAGGACCTCCAAACCCAATTCCAGTACATCTACACCCATTTTTAGCTTCCAGTTTGCCATGCAATGTCTCTAGTGACACTGCACAACGCAATCCAGCTCAACAAGACAATACTACATTAGGTTTGTAGACAGCAGTATCGAGAGATGCCTGAACTCATGGTATTGGCTAAAGGAGTCCCTTCAACATGCTGCACTGCAGGAGGACCAAGACTTCAACAAGCAATATCCAAATTCTGATCTTTAATTCCTCATAGCTTTTGAGCAACTTGGGGATACTGCTAAAGGTGATGTCTGCCAGGTTGCTTACTCTGCCACCACGTATTTGTCTTATGACTGAAGTGGGTTAAATTTTATCTACTGTACAGAAATATATTAACAGAAGAGATCGCACACATCGAACTCAATCATTCCATCATCTGCTACAAACTCTAGCTCTAGAGCTTCCTAGAACATTCGAGCATGAATTTTTACAAGTGGTAATTTTAAATTACCTATTTTCTCAGCAGAAAACTAATTAAAACCTACAGATTTAGTACATTTTACAATATGAAGAAATACACAGACAGATCTGATAGAAGCAACCCGGCATTTCAAGAAGCTCAAATCCTGGCAACCATTTCAAGTATTCAAACCTGGAGAAAAATATTCAGTATTTGCATGGAGACTACCCTGTAAGAAGCTATTTAATCTTTCAAACAAAAGACAGCTATTCAATACTTAAATGCTTAATAGAGCCAAAGGTTTCAGCATGTTTTAAAATAACCGAAAATATCATTCTAAGCACAGGATGAGCTGAAATGCCTAAGTAACATTTTAGAATTTAAAAGCTATGCACACTCAAGAGTATTGTTTAAACATTTGCTTTCATAAAAAACTGTATTAACTTTCCAGCAGGTCTCAGAGGAAAACACAATCTTTTTGATCAACAACAGTAAACCAAGCAGCAACAGTATCAGTATCTAAAGCCACCCACCACCTCAGATAAAACCCCTGTTTTCAGTTGTGCGTGCTGGGTTTTTATACATTTCCAGACCAGCTATCCTGAAGCAAGCCCTACAAAACTACCTTACTAGGAGCCTTTAAAATCCATAGTTCAATGCCTTTACTGAAAATAACTGTGGGGTGAGGCTATGCTGGCAATCACAGAATCCCAGAACGTTAGGGATTGGAAGGGACCTCCAAAGCTCATCCAGTCCAATCCCCCTGCCGGAGCAGGAACACCCAGATGAGGTTACACAGGAAGGCGTCCAGGCGGGTTTTGAATGTCTGCAGAGAAGGAGACTCCACAACCTCTCTGGGCAGCCTGGGCCAGGGCTCTGTCACCCTCACTGAGAAGAAGTTTCTTCTCCAATTGAAGTGGAACCTCCTGTGTTCCAGCTTGTGTCTGTTACCCCTTGTCCTATCATTGTTTGTCACCGAGAAGAGCCTGGCTCCATCCTCGTGACACTCACCCTTTAAATCTTTATAAACATGAATGAGGTCTCCCCTCAGTCTCCTCTTCTGCAAACTAAAGAGCCCCAGCTCCCTCAGCCGCTCCTCAGAAGGGAGATGCTCCACTCCCTTGATCATCTTTGTAGCCCTACGCTGGACTCTCTCCAGCAGTTCCCTGTCCTTCTTGAACTGGCAATCCTCCAGCATAAAACATGGAAAAGTAACAGAAAAAGCCTGTAAAAAACAGCAAAATCAAAAAGGTAAAAGCAGAGTAGATGCACACACTGAATGCTAAGATCCATTAAACCAAGAAGCCAGACCTGAACTTGTACCAACAGTATCTAGCATACAGCCACTAGCTGAAAAACCCAGTAGTGAAAAAAATAGAAATCAAATTTTAAAAAGTGTATTTTTCCCTCTACAAGCTGACCCAGGAAGCTACAACATCTGACCATCCACCTGCTCTCAGCAT